ATCCGGCGTTTGTCTATCTGGCATCTGTATTTTTTTTTCAAATTATCAACTTCTCCAGAATCACTAAGTAAATTACAAGCGAACTTGCAACAGAGCATCCTTAGCGGATTTACCATCACGGCCCGGGGTCCCGCATATAGATCTTCCCTTAAGGGGATGAAGGAAACATGGTCACAAGACTCTGTTTAACTACGTCATAGTCTCCAAACCCCATCTCACAAGAGGGGTGAAAATAGGTGAGGTCCTTTAAAAATCTTCTCAACAGGCACTTGGCCATAAAAGATGCTGTAAATTATTACTTCTCACAAGATATTTATTTTATGAATTCATGTTTATGTATTACTAGTATATCTATTCTATGTGTTACATAGCCTTGCTAACGATGCCAGTTCTAAAGAACCACGTGGTATTAGCCAGGTATTCGAATGAAAACCTTGTAATTCCTAACAAGTAATTCATTAAAACACCAAGTAGAAAATAATTTCTGTCTATTCCGTTCCTCAGACGAAAGAAATCATATATATCTGACTTCAGTGCCTCATAAAGGGATCAAAATATTTCTTACTTTTTTTAAATATTGTCTGTTAATTGATACGAGTACAAAGAAGTATAAAGGTCATACGCAACGTACATGTGCGTGTACTCACAATGTACCTTTCCCACCGATAATTGTCCAAGATACTCTTAATTTAAAATCATTGTACCATCAAATATTATGAGAGAGAAATCAGCATTCATTACAAGAAGTTTTTAACAGATACGAAATTATAAAAATCCTTGTATTTTTTTAAAAGAAAAATTAACAAAACTATAGTTTTAACTGAAATTTCCTCAAAATTTGATTCAGAGGAGCATTACTAGCATCATAAAATCGCACAAAGGTTCTTCAATTACTTATTGGAACTCTAACTTGAATTATATAGGGAATAAGAAAATAAAGTTCAAAGTCATGTTGCACATATCTTTATAAGGTTGTTGTCCAGGTACTTCCCATACTTGTAAGAACATTGCAAATATGTTGGCATGAAGACAAGTCACACGAAGCTAAATTTTATTTTAAGCTGTTTGACTTTAAAACCTTAATCTCTTAAGTGCAAAGTAGTGGATCATCACAACTTAAAAGTCAATTAACGCGTGGATCCGTAAACATGTATTCTTTTTCTACCTCAAGAAATCAATTTCTTGAATCATAAGGTAAAATGTACATGCATATGTAGACAGATTTTGATTGTCACTTACGTTTCATATCAAAAACCACAACTTACAATTCTTTATAGAAGTTATCGTTGAAATACGTTTAAAAGTCTATTAAAGCATTGTCAACTCCAAAATCAAGGAAGAGAATAAAAGTTTAACTTTTCATGTCTTGGCTGCAAATCAAGTGCATTTTTCATACAATATATTTTTTTCAAAGAGTTATGTACATGTATTATTATACCATGCAAATAGTTCACTTGGTACATGTCCATGGGTAAAGAAAAGGATATTCCAAGTTGTAATGTATTTTTACTTTATGGCCAGCTTACTCCCACCGTGGAGGCCACGAATTTCACAATTTTTGTATTTTTACAATTTATTAGCTCACCTGAGCTGAAGGCTAAGTAAATGGTGTCCGTATAAGAGTCCGTATATCGTGCGTAAACTTTGGACTTCTCAAGAACCAATAGGCCAATTTCAACCAAACTTACCACAAAGCATCCTTGGATGAAGGGAATTTAAATTTGTTCAAATGTAAGGTCACAACCTCTTTCAAGGAGGGATAATACAGAATAAGTACAAATTTAATGCCATCTTTCAAAAATCTTCTCAAGAACCACTGTGCCAGAAGACAGGAAACTTATGTGAAAGCTTCATTACATATTGTAGCTTCATCTTTGCTCAAATCTTGACCCCCGAGGCTAGGGTGTGGGGCCACAATGGGCAATCAAAGTTTTCATAGAAATATATAGGGGAAATCTTTAATAATCTTTTCAAGAACAGCAAAGTCCTGATTGATCATATAGGAGCATCCTCAGGTAGTGTAGATTTGAATTTTTTCAAATCATGATCCCCAGGGGTAGGGTGGGACCACAATGGGCTATCAAATTATTAATATTCAAATCTAAGCATCCTTAGGTAGTGTAGATTTGTTTGTTCAAATCATGATCTATGGGTAGGGTGGGGCCACAATGAGCTTTCAATTTCTTTCAGAAGGAATATATTAAAAATATTTTAAAATCTTCTAAAGAACAGCAAAAGCCTTATTGGTCATACGAATATGGAAGCATTCAGGTTAGTTCAAATCACAGCCCCTGGGGATAGGCCAGGGCCACAATAAAAGATAAAACTTTTACACAGGAATATATAGGAGAAAATCTGAAAAATCTTTTTAAAGCCATGAACAGTCATATGAATATGGAAGCATCATCAGTTAGTGCAGATTGAAGTTCATTCAAATCATTACCCCCTACACTGTCCCTCCCAAGGTACAGTGGGGCCACTTTTCCAAAACTGAACTGATCTTTAGCTCTACTGGTCAGAGACCAGAAGAGCTTATGCAATAGTAAGATGTCCGTCGTCCGTCCGTCTAGCTGTCTGTTCGTCTGTCTGTAAACACTTTTTCAAAACACTACTTCTCCTACAGTTTTGGTCTGATTTCAATATAACTTGGCACACAAGTAGACTACACTAAGATACATCATTTAGTGCATCGGTGTTTGATTTCGATGAACGGTGTTGCCAAGGTTACTAAAAATAGAAATTTCTGTGAATTTCCTTTAAAACACTACTCCTCCTATAGTTTTGGTATGAACTCAAGATAACTTGGCACACAAGTAGACTACACTAAGATACATAATTTAGTATATCGGTTTTTGATTTCGATGAACGGTGTTGTCATGGTTACTAAAAATAGAGATTTCTGTGAAATTCCTTTCAAATGCTTCTCCTCCTACAGTTTTGGTCTGATTACAATATAACTTGGCACACAAGTAGACTACACTAAGATACATCATTTAGTGCATCGGTTTTTGATTTCGATGAACGGTGTTGCCATGGTTACTAAAAATAGAAATTTCTGTGAAATTTATTTAAAACACTACTCCTCCTACAGTTATGGTCTGATTTCAATATAACTTGGCAAACAAGTAGACTACACTAAGATTCATAATTTAGTGCATTGGTTTTTGATTTCAGTGAACGGTGTTGCCATGGTTACTAAAAATAGAAATTTCTGTGACATTCATTTAAAACGCTACTCCTCCTACAGTTTTGGTCTGATTTCAATCTAATTTGGCACACAATTAGAATACACTACGATACATGTATTTCGTTTTTGATTTCGATGAAAGGTGTTGCAATGGTTATTAAAAATAGAAATTTCTGTGAAATTCCTTTAAAACACTACTCCTCCTACAGTTTTCATTTGATTTCAATATAACTTGGCACACAAGTAGACTACACTAAGATACATAATTTAGTATATCGGTTTTTGATTTCGATGAACGGTGTTGTCATGGTTACTAAAAATAGAGATTTCTGTGAAATTCCTTTCAAATGCTTCTCCTCCTACAGTTTTGGTCTGATTACAATATAACTTGGCACACAAGTAGATTACACTAAGATACATCATTTAGTGCATCGGTTTTTGATTTCGATGAACGGTGTTGCCATGGTTACTAAAAATAGAAATTTCTGTGAAATTTATTTAAAACACTACTCCTCCTACAGTTATGGTCTGATTTCAATATAACTTGGCAAACAAGTAGACTACACTAAGATACATAATTTAGTGCATTGGTTTTTGATTTCAGTGAATGGTGTTGCCATGGTTACTAAAAATAGAAATTTCTGTGACATTCATTTAAAACGCTACTCCTCCTACAGTTTTGGTCTGATTTCAATCTAATTTGGCACACAGAATACACTACGATACATGTATTTCGGTTTTTGATTTCGATGAAAGGTGTTGCCATGGTTACTAAAAATAGAAATTTCTGTGAAATTCCTTTAAAACACTACTCCTCCTACAGTTTTCATTTGATTTCAATATAACTTGGCACACTAGTAGACTACAGTAAGATACATAATTCTATTTATTGTTGCATGTTTCAAATCCAAGTGCTTTGTTATATGTACAGACCAGTAGAGCTACAGTCTCATCAGAGACTTCTGGTTTTTCCTTTTCTCTAACCAAAGTTCTCAGGTGAGTGATGTGGCCCATGAGAATCTTGTTTATCTGCAAGAGGTCCATGAGCCGTGAACAAGTTTTTGAATGTACTTTTATTCTGTATTTTCAATATGGTCAGCTTAGCCCCACCCTGTAGCCTGAATCATGCATCCAGGGGACATGAATGGTATAATTTGGTAAAGGGTAATGCAGTGGTTGTAACCACTAAATTTGTTCATCCACCAAATGTAATCCAACTGAGACCCACCCCTGAGGCCATGAATTTGATCATTTTGATAGAGGGCTAAGTATTTCTTAAAATCATATAAACAGTTTGGCTATTTAATGTCCAAGAAAAGAGGAGATTTTCAGAGATGAATATTCAAATAATAAATATATATTCAACTACACCCCATCCTAGGGCCTGACCAATGGACCCAGGGGGTATAAATTTCACAGTTTTGGTAAAACCTTGAGTACTTATTGTAAGAATGCAACAATTTGCCTGCTAAATGTCCCTGAGAAAAAGAAAACTTTATAAAATGCCTTTTCAATATACATTGTATGACCACCCCATCTTGGAGTGTGAACACTGCACCCAGGAGCCATGGAATTCACAAATTTTGATAGAGGGCTCACTGCTTGTTTTAATCATGCTAACATTTGACTGCTTGAAGCCCAGGAGTTAAGAAGATTTTTTGAAAATTGCATAAATTTTGACAGTTTGGTCCAACATCTCAGGCCCCAGGGAAACAGAGAACATCAAATTCAGTTCTCCTTTACCCACTATATACAAAATATACCTGAGTGACTCAGGTGGCCTATAAAGTAAAAAAAAAATGAACATTTTGTTGTTTATTGATGATCTTTAATGTTTGTTAATGTTAAAATTGATACAACATGACATATTGACTTCCCCTCTTTTGTTTAATCATTTAATTTACGTTCAGAGAATACCCAATTAATTGTACCTCTTGCTTAAAACAATCAAAACTCAAGGGGTAAAAATCAAATCAAAGAAAGCACTTTTTTTCTGATGAAAATCATTATGAATTAGTTGGACATTACAAGAAATGTAGCAATAGACCCATTTCTCATTTAAAATTACTATAAATAGATCAGATATTGAATTCTATCAGACGTTGAATTCTGTCACTATAATTGACCTTTAACTCTCTATTGCTGTATTGAAATAAATTCATATCCTTGACCTCTCTGACAGCAACACCTATTTCAGTCTTCATTTTTAACATCAAATCCAATCAACTTAATATGTACTTCAACACTGCATCATCAAGCATTCAATCAACAGATAATTCATCCTCAACAATATTATCCTCTGGTGCTGTCATTTCTGCCTCAGCAGCCATCTGCTCCTCTGGTTCCTCGGGATCAACAGGAGGTTCCTTCTTGCTGCATTTCTCCTCAACCTTCACTGGATCCACAGAGGATCCAATATCTTCCTCATTATCTACCTTTTGTGCACTCTCATTGGAAGCATTGTTACTGCGATTCTTTTCCTCCCTCACTTCTGTGATATTGGATTCAGGAATCTCTGGGGAGGATCCTTTTGCTTTATCTCTTGTTTCTGCATCCTTTTTGGGACCTCCTTCTCCAGAGCTTGGTCTTGATTCTGTTTTCTCCTGGGAGTCCCTAGGTGATGTGCGAGGAGTTTTCTCCCCTGACCTGTCATCTGAACTCTGCTTTCTTGGCTTTTCTCTATCATCTAAAGAAAAAATATATTTTAGTAAACACCCACAAGCATAGTGTCTTCTATTTATATTATTTACTATTTACAATTCCATCACTGAAGAAAATATGTAAGGGAGTATGAAAATTTTGTAGGTGCATGTGAACAAATTTCATGAGAGATTCTCTCTTATACATACCGTATAACGGGTATTTTCTGCGGTTGGAAATTTTTGCGATTTAACCCCTAAAAGGTAGCAAATTAATTTCTGCGTTTTCAATTTCTGCGGTTGCATTATACCGCAAACATTTATTTACGGGGTATGATCACTAAACTTTATAAATTATCAGAACCCTGTCATGTTTACGTTTTATAAATTCATTAAGACATATTGATCAAAGGTGCATGAGAACCTGTATTAAGCTTAATTAGACTAATATCTTTTAATTAGTCTTTGTAAAAATATGTCGAGTCCCAATTGAAATGAATTAATGCAGTATCACTCCCCCCAAACAACAATAGAAATCTTTATTCCAACAGACGTCTTATGCGATCTATTAAAATATTTAAATATATAGATAAGGATAATAAATGCATCCAAGCCATCTTCTAGAATACACGTATAGTTAATTACCATCAAAATTAATTTGGTGTATGTATTTTAAGCTAAAACAAACAGTTGCATAATTTAGTACCTTAAAGTTGACGGTTAACAATCACAGGTGTCATGTGCATCGAAGCGTAACTAATCCTGTCAGTCGTTTGCATTGGGTGAAATTCACTAGACAATCAAGCCGCATTGTGTATACAAGCAGTAATTATTGTCTCAAGATAAAACACAAGATTGAAAAAAAAAGTGTTTTAAAAAAAAAAAAAACAAGAGGCCCATGGGCCACATCGCTCACCTGAGCACATTGGCTAGGAAAAAAAGCAAAAATCAGTACAGTATTGAAAAGTTTACAGGGAGGGGGGTGTTGAATTTTAAACTACCTGATGATGCTTTCATATCAATATAACAAATGGCTTTGTTGTTCTTGAGCAGCAGATTTTTTTCCCATATATTCATTTGTAAAAATTTGATCCCCCATTGTGGCTCCACCCTACCCCCGGGGGCCCTCATTTGAACAAATTTCATTCTACACTACCCAAAGATGCCTCCATATCAATTTGACTAATCATGGCTTTTCTGTTCTTGAGAAAAAGACTTTTTCCTATATATTCCTCTGTAAACTTTGATCACCCATTGTGGCCCCAACCTATCCCCAGGGTAATGATTTGAACAAACTTGAATCTTCACTATCTGAGGATGCTTCCATATAAATATGACCAATCATGGCTTTACTGTTCTTAAGAAGAAGATTTTTAACGATATTTTCCTATATATTTCTATGTAAAACTTTGATCCCCAATTGTGGACCCACCCTACCCCCGGGGGTTATTATTTGAACAAATTTGAATCTTCACTACCTGAGGATGCTTCCATATAAATATGACCAATCATGGCTTTACTGTTTTTAAGAAGAAGATTTTAGAGATATTTTCCTATATATTTCTATGTTAAAACTTGGATCCTTCATTGTGGCCCCACCCTACCCCCGGGGTTATGATTTGAGCAAATTTGAATCTTCACTACCTGAGGATGCTTCCATATAAATATGACCAATCATGGCTTTACTGTTTTTAAGAAGAAGATTTTTAGAGATATTTTCCTATATATTTCTATGTAAAACTTGGATCCCCCATTGTGGCCCCACCCTATCCCCGGGGGTCATGATTTGAACAAACTTGAATCTACACTACCTGAGGATGCTTCCATAAAAATATGACCAATCATGGCTTTGCTGTTCTTAAGAAGAAGATTTTTAAAGATATTTTCCTATATATTTCTATGTAAAACCTGGATCCCCCTTTGTGGCCCCACCCTACCCCCGGGGGTCATGATTTGAACAAACTTGAATCTACACTACCTGAGGATGCTTCCATATAAATATGACCAATCTTGGCTTTACTGTTCTTAAGAAGAAGATTTTTAAAGATATTTTCCTATATATTTCTATGTAAAACTTGGATCCCCCATTGTGGCCCCACCCTACCCCTGGGGGTCATGATTTGAACAAACTTGAATCTACACTACCTGAGTATGTTTCCACATAAGTTTCATCTTTCCTGGCCCAGTGGTTCTTGAGAAGAAGATTTTTAAATGATGCCATTATTTTTTCACTAATTCCTAATTATCTCCCCTTGAAAGAGGGCGTGGCCCTTCATTTGTACAAACTTGAATCCCCTTTACCCAAGGATGCTTTGTGGCAAGTTTGGTTGAATTTGGCCCAGTGGTTCTTGAGAAGAAGTTGAAAATGTGAAAAGTTTACAGACAGACAGACGGACAGACAGACGGACGCCGGACAAAATGTGATCAGAAAAGCTCACTTGAGCTTTCAGCTCAGGTGAGCTAAAAAAGGAAAGCCACCATGTGTTGTGTGCAGCTATCGGAGTTTGGACTAATAATATTATTGCGAAATACAGAGTAGGTACAAGAAAAGATACTTATTCAATTGATATTATTTACAGGAAGATTTCGATTCAATATATTTTGAACAAATCCTGACGTCTAAAATCGAATTTCGATGTGGCCCGAATTTTTTAAAAAACCTTCCAGCTATCTTTTTTGCGTCCTGAACGCAGGTTCTTGCGTTAATGAGAACCCTGTCAGACATACGCACCACTTATCATAATTGCATGTTTAAAATATCTGAATAAATATTAAAAATATTTTGCGATTGTAATTTTTGCGGATTTGTCTTATCCGCAAAATTCCGCAAAAATTGGACAACGGCAGAAAATACCCGTTATACGGTATATCTTTCCTCCCGTCAAACAAAATAAAAATCAATAAAGTGTATAATATATGTACATCTCAGATCATTTTAAGTAGAAAACTTATTTTATCAGCAATAACTCTTAACTCAATGGTCTGTAAATACTTTTTTTAGAAAAGTGCCACCTACCTTTTTGTCTAGGCTCCCCTGCTGCTCTCCTTCTTTCTGCTGCCTTTCTGGGGTCATAAATTTCTCGCTCGGGCCTGTCCTAAATTGTGGAAAGCAACAAGTCAAGAAGAATATGTACATGTTCACATCATAAATAACAATTCAGCTTTGAAATATCTTCAAATATCAGGTATGGTTTCACATCACCAAAATTGGATTTTATATTAAATGAAGGACAAAATCTAAATTTCCTCATGTCCCTGAAGCAATAATATCACTTACATTTGTAAATTACATAAGACATATAATGAACAATTAAAGAAATACATGAGTTACCCTTCTTTTCTTCTTCTTGTCCTCTAAATCATCTCGACTTCGAGATTTCTCGAGCTTTTTGCTTTTAGATTTACTATCCTCCCCTGCTGAGTCCACTGAGATTTCTGATTTTGTGTCACTGGAGTCGATATCCACTATTGCCATCTGTTTCTCCCCTTCACGACTTCCTCTTCTGCTGGACGTACTCTTGGAGCTCTCTACATCATCCAGCACTTCTCCCTCTTTGCTGGCTGCAGAGGTTTTCCTCTCTTTTGTAGTATCCTTGTCCTCTGATTCTTTTGAGGTGGAGGAGGATTTAGTATCATCAGTTTCCTTCTTGTCTTTGAGACTTGTGTCCTATGGAATTTATTATAATCTGAATCATCTGATTCTTGGCAGATAATTATTTAAACAAGAGGTCCATGGGCCACAACGCTCACCTGAGTAACTTTGGCCCTGCTGTTCTTCACCAGATTTTCCCTTTGTAATATGTATTGTGACCCCACCCTATCCCCGGGGATCAGGATTTGAACAATTTAAAATCTACACTACCTCAGGATGCTTCCTTGTAAGTTTAACTTTTCTGACCCAGTGGTTCTTGAGAAGAAAATTTCTAAAGATTTTTCCTAAATATCTAAATGTAAAACTTTGATTCCCCATTGGTAGATATGCCACGATTTGTATTTGCTGTTGCACAACCTGGAACTGCTGATGTTCCCGGATAATACTGTATATTACATGATTCCAGTATATCTTTGATCAATGTTGTATATTTAAACTCGAATTTCATCCAAACATTCACGTTATCAATGGTAGAGCTACTACCCTAGGATGCTTTCACATAGGTTTCAGCTTTTCTGGTCCAGTGGTTCTTTAGAAGAAGACTTTTAAAGATTTTTTCCTATATATTTCAATGTAAAACTTTGATTCCCCATTGTGTCCCCCACCTTACCCCCGGGGGTCATGATTTGAACAATTTAGAATCTACAATACCCCCAGAATGCTTCCAAGTAAGTTTCAGCTTTTCTGGCCAAGTGTTTCTTGAGAAAAAGATTTTTAAAGATTTTTCCTATATATTTCAATGTAAAACTTTGATTCCCCATTGTGGCCCCACACTACCCCCAGGGGTCATGATTTGAACAATTTAGAATCTACACCACGCCATGATGTTTCCATGTAAGTTTCAGTTTTTCTGGCCCAGTGGTTCTTGAGAAGAAGATTTTTAATGACCCTACCCTATTTTTGTCTTTTCTTGATTATCTCCCCTTGTAAGGAGGCTTGGCCCTTCATTTTAAGAATTTAAACTCCCCTTCACCCAAGGATACTTTGTACCAACTTTGGTCAAAATTGGCCCAGTGGTTCTTGAGAAGAAGTTTAAAATGTAAAAAGTTTACAGACAGACTGATGGACGGACAGACAGAGGGATGGCCTACAGGTGATCAGAAAAGCTCACTTGAGCTTTCAGCTCAGGTGAGCTAAAAATATATCCTACATGTATATCAAGACAAAATATAAGACATTGGATGCCTGAGTGTTTAGAATAACTACCTCTCCTTTCACTGAAGTTTTCCTCTCAGTATCTTTCTTTGCACTGCCCCTACAAAATGATTGAATCTTTAAAGACTTTTCAATTCTTCCTAATCTTGTGGAATAATTATTTTAAATCAACAAGACAGCAAACTTTAGATTTCCATTTTTTTAAAAACAATTTACTAGTTTCCATTGATGTTTTGTTTGCCAGGCACAGAAATCAATACATCGTATCCTGTTACACTCGGTACTTACCCTCTTTCATTATTCCTCTTTTCTCTTTGTCTATCCCTCTCACTCTCTCTATCTTTGTCCCAGTTTCGATCTCTTCCATACTTCTTGTCTTCTCTGCCAGTCTTGTCCAGTCTTTTTCCCGATTCTGGCCGTCTATCTGACTCTTGCCTATCTTTTCTACTCTCAGCACGATCTTCCCTGCCAAATCCCCTTCCTGAATCTCTTCCAGATTTTGGACGGTCTTGATTTGCTGCAGATTTCTCATTCTTCATTTTCTCTCTGTTTTCTTTAGAGAAGCGCAGCTTTTCTCTTTCCTTTCTTTTGATGTCCTCATCTTTGGCTGACTTGACATCACCCCTACCTGATGATGGCACTTTGTCTTGTTTTTCTTCTCTGTCAGGATTTTTCAACAACTAAAACAGTTACATTTACATGTATATGTAATATATTCTTAAATTATTATCTTAATAAAGCAATAACACATGTCTAACTACATGTAATTAAAAGCAGCAGAAACAACAAATTAAGATCAACAAAACTGAAAATAAATTCAAAACAAAAATAATTCTAACAATAGCATGCCTTGTTCATAACATTTAAACATCAAACTTCGTACGAATTTTTAAAACAAGAATATGCGATACCTGCATGATGAATTCCTGAAAATAAATACACGTTTAAGCACCTATTTTGAATTTCATTTTATAATATTAACATAAATTCAATTGCTGCTACTCTACATACCTTCACAGATAAATCAATACTGGGAGGCTTATCCTTATCTTTATCCCGTGCCCTATCCTTGTCTTTTTCTCTGTCCTTCTCTCTCTCCCTCTCCCTTCTCCTCCTCCTTTCTTCCTCTCTTTGCCTGCGTTTTTCTTGTTCTCGTCTTTTACGTTCTTCTTGAATTTTCTATACACACAACAGTATGACATGTTTACAAGTACGGTAAAAATTTACTGCATTTGAATTACAAGTTAATCTAAAGTAAAAATAACTGACAACATAATTTTATCAAAAATAAATATATAATTATAAAAACATCTTTTTCCTACATGCACATGCATGGCTTCAAATCAATACCTTTTATGTGTGCATCTCATTAAGAAATATCATATAAATATTGCATGTAGTTGAGGGTAACATTGAAAATTTTCACCCAAAGAAAACTTGTCAACCGAAGAGCAGCAGAGGCTTGACAATGGTTTTTGAGGGGTGAAAATTTTCAATATTACCCTCAACTACACATAGTATTTATTATGTTATATGAATGTTCTATAGAAATACATATAACGGTGAACCATGTGCACATAAATTCTGTGCAGTCAACATTTTTTTGAAATTATATTACACGTCGTCAAGCAATGTTGATTGTTGCTACGCTGGAGGGTGTGGTTTCTTCATTCAGTATTAATTCATAACCACAGCTGAATTATACCAGTACATGTAAATCAATATTATAATAAATATACCAGTAACTGTATACGCTTCAATTATATTGAAGTCGATATGATCTGCACTCAAATTAAATAAGCCAAAATAAATACATGTATATGTATATATACTAGTATGTCAAAGACTAAAAATTATTTTGAACGTTAATTTAATTTCATTTACTAAAATATTTGCCCTTTTCTCTTCTTTACGTTTCTTCAGATACTCAATTAAAGGTGTTGAAGTTTTCACGCAGCCATGGTTTGCTGAAAACAAAACAGTTTTAAAATACTTTTTCATATATACACATTAACAGATTTCTTACTAGGAAGATTAGAAATGGACATCATGATTAATCATGTTTTAATATCAACTGCCTTGAATTCAGGTAAACAAAAGAATTACAAGATGAATTTCATTTATTAACTTACAGCTACTGTTAGAGAGCTCACAAAATTATACTACAATTTATGCTACAATATTTTTTTAAAAGAGCTTAAACTTGCACAACTGACCTTGATTCAAGAAAATGACACACTCTCTGGTCAGACATAACCTTGTGTTTAGTATGAACTTCTAATGTATCTCTATTAGAAAGTACTGCACCAGACATGAGTTTTACACTTTTTCTAACAGTGACCCTGCCAAAATGACCTTGGGTCAAGGTTACAACATACCATCAGCTCATGAGTAATCTTTGCTTGAAGAATCAACTTCAAATATTTATCCAATTACCGGTAAGAGTTTGACACGAATTATGGGTTTTTTTGCCAATGACCTTGAACTTATGGGATTGACCTTGTCAAGGTCATGACACATTTTCAGGACATAAGTAATATTTGTGTGAAGTAGAACTTCAGAGTTTCTCCATAAGAAAGTTATAGATAGAACATAAATTTTACACTTCTTCTTCCAGTAACCATGAACTTGCCAAAAATGATCTAGTACACAATTCTTAAAGTTAAGAGTCAAGATCATGCTATACACCTCGATCATAAACAATTTCCGTGTCATGTATTAACTTTCAATTTTCTCCATTAGAGATTTATGTACTAAACTCAAATTATACGTTTTGTACTGCCAATGACACTGAACTTGCTAAATGACCATAGGTCATAGGCAATCATAGGTCATAGGCAATCTTTGTGCTCAGTATCAGCTAACAATGTTTCTCCATTACACAATATGGTACATTATTCTAAAAGTAACCTTGAATACTAGATAACCTTGGGTCAAGTTCACGATACATGTTAGAGATAAGTAACCTTCCAATGAACTTTCAATGTTTCTCCATTAGAAATTTATGGATGGACACAAATTTGAAACTTTTTCTGCCAATAGCCTTAAGTCATAACACATTCTCAGGTTATAAGCAATCTTTGTGTCAAGTATGAGCTTTCAATGTTTCTCTGTTACAAAGATATGGCCAAGATATGATTAGGTGGACAGATAGACAGATGGACAAGGTGATTCCTATATATATACATGTATATATATTTCCCCAAACTTTGTTTACAGGGGTTTTAATGATTAGAATCAATTTTCTGCAAACTACAACTGTACTTTTATTACACTGAGAGTAAACCGATATCAAAACTGCTTTAAGAAATTTCTGGCTTACATTTCATTTCCCTCTCTTTGGCCTCAAGTTCCTCCAGATACTCATCAATAGTTTTAGCATCTTCATTTTCAGGGGATTCTAGCCACTCTTTGAATTTTACATAATCTGCATCTGTTAAAAAAAATGTTACTAGTATTTAGAAAAACAAAAACATTTTCTCTGATCTGTCCAGTCCAGCAAAATATTTCTAGCAATGCAGAAACATATGAACAGTCTCTTGATAATACATTACAACTATCTTGTTGTTTATCATTGTAGTACTGGAAGTCTGATAAAGTGAAATAATTAACCATAAGGATTGAATATTTCTGTGTATTTAGAACAATAAAACCACTTTTTTGTAACAGATGTTTTTCCCCAAAAATAGGTTGGTTGGTAGGTAAAAAAAATAAAATTAAAGACAAAGATTTACATTTATAAACATAAATGGTAAAATCCCTTCCTTCCTCCATTTTTTTTTTAATACAAAAATTCCCACTGTTAACATTGTTCAAAACTTGTTTATACATAGAATCCAAGTTTTCTAGGTATTAAAAAATTGCATTTATCAGTTCTATTTTAGTAGTCAACAACAATTTTAAGAAATATAGATTATAGGATATTTCAATAACTAACAATCTTAAAATTATAGCTACATGTATCTAATGGCAAATGGTAATTTGTAGAAATTGTTCCCCCACTATTGGATCCTTTCATGTCAAAACAAACTGCTATTTAATAGAAATTTAAATCTACAGTAAGTATGCATATAACATACAGTTATCCCCCTTTCTACCAGATTTTTAAAATGACCTTGTTCTAATGTTCCCTTCTTCAAATCAGGTTTCTTTGATTTTCTTTTTGGAACTTTCTGGAATGGAGCAAATTCCACAATTGCAGGATACTCGTTTCCTACAATAGATCAAAATACCTATGAAGCAAACAAAATCTTAAAGACTTATGGCATTAAAAATTATACCTCTTAAGAAAGAATAAGCGATATGGTCTATAACTTTAAATATACATGTATGTATGTATTTGAACAGAGGAAAATACTTGGCACACAAATGGTTTAATCCTTCCTAACCTTAGTAACCTAATTTATGGTTGCAGGTGATATAAGTCATATTGTTAACAAATACTAAAAAATTTCAAGTTAATATTTTTTCATAAAATGCCTGTAAAAATGCACTAGTGTACCAATGCTTATATACCTTTGCTGTCAATGAACACATAGCCATCAAACTTATCTCTGAAGATGAAGATTTCCGATGGATTTGAAAAGTTGAGATAGGCTCTGGAAAATGCATTACTTCCAAGGCTGCAAGACATATATTAAAGAATACTGAATATATGACACTACTAACTCATATAATTAGTTATTAAAATACCATTACAGCTAATTTGTTAAAAATAGAAGTATATAAATTCTCAAATTCAACTAAAAATAGTCTGAAACTTTAACAAATTCTTCCTTGTCTTGAGGCATATGTCATTCTAAAATATCGAACTAATCTCTTCCTTCTTTCAAGAATTCAGAGTTAAGTATGCTGTCTGTTACATGAGTGAAACAAGTGAAACATAACTTCCTTTATATTTTTGGGATACAGATTATTGAGGCAAATATCACTTTAATTTCTGCTTTGAAATACTGCTGTTGCTTTATTGTATAAGTGGGATTCATGTTTGGAGCAATACTTTGTGAACAAAGTCCTGAATACATCCAAAATTTTATTTCATTTACAAATAATACAAAAAATATCAAATAGTTAAATAATGATGGCACCAAACATTTCCAACCTCCAATTTAAATACTGTAGAACACTCATGTTATTTAGATAAAAACTTTGTCTTTATTATTATTATTTCTTAATTTATATACATCCATTGCAAGTATATATCTTACCTCATGTCAGCCTTTACAAAGTAGAAGAAATCATGTTCAGGTAAAGGTGAAATCTGTTCAATCAGAGACTCGGGGGTAAGACTTGGGGGTAATCTTCTTATTACCACCTGCAATCAAACATCTCTACATATTAACATTTCAAATTATTTTCCTCTAGATGTTAACAAATAGGAATGCAATTCCTTTTCTCGCAATCTGATAAAGGTTATCTTAAATAGTTCCATTGTGACATAATACCATACGTGGCATCAAAATTTTGGTACAATCTGCTTTTTTTTCAACTAAAAAAAAGGATATTTGTTATAATATTGTTATAATTTGTGTCCAATCATCAAATGAATAATACAGTGTGTGCCAGAAGGACTAGCCCGATGCTTGAACACTAGTAAAAATTCAGTCTATCACCTAGACTACAATGTAGTAGCAATTTTTGTAACATCTACATGTATCTTTTTTTGTTTTTGATCCAAGTATAATGAGTATTGACAAAAAGTGTCAAAAAACATTTTTGCACAGAAAAAAAAAAATTAAATTCTTTGAGATTTTCTTCATGATTTTTCATATCCTGGTTGATGTATCTCTGTCAATCTTTGCTTGGTTTGGCTCATCATAGCCACATGTTTGAATGGCTTAAGAATGAGAGAAATGTTTCAGAAAAGTTGAGACCCAAACTTCACGTCAATGAAGTTAACAGTCTGAATTGAAAAAAAAAAATTAATTAAATCTAAAGGATAGAAATGATACAAGAGATCAATTTATCAAATTTTTTTTTGGTTGAAAGTTTGGGTGGAGTGGAAGTGAGTTAGCTACTAAAAAGTGATTTGGGCTATTAAGGTGTTGCCATTACTAGTCTGAATGGGGTATAGCTGAAAAAAGATTTTGGCACTCACTGACAAATGTAAATACATGTATAAGAAATTATATGTAATTTAATTTTGAAACTCATGAGGAACATGAACTAACAAGCTTCAGGAAATATGCCGACTTGATTAGCATTGTAGGTCATATGTTCTCATGACTAATCAAAAATTGAATTGACATCTTTTTTAAATATTTACATTGCGAATGCCATTTTTTGTGCATATATAGTCACATGTAGAAACGTGCATGGAGAAAATTACAATAAAGTGACATCAGGATGAGACTACAGAGATGGTGATGAAAATGCCCTGCTATAAGTAGGGCAGCAACTAATTCAAATCATGGATTAAAAAAACATGACGTAAAAACCAATTTTCTACATGCCATTTTCACAGTATTTGTGCTCAATGTGTTGCATTCTGAGCTAAACTTCATCTTGTATCAATATAAATTTTCTTAACTTTTTCTGTAAGCAGTATCTCTTGGGTATATGAATCCAAAAAATTTCTACGTAACGGACACCACAAATTCTTCATATTATATCCTCAAGTTAAAATCAAAATGAAAAAAAATCTATGATTAACTCTCATACTTAAAAAAAATGGTGCCTTTTTCAAAGTCAAGAGTGAAAAATTGTAGAAAAAGCTTGATATTATTTGTTGGAAGGGGGGGGGGGGGGTATTTTGATATGTTTAAAGATTTCATAGTACTGTAAATTCCTTATTTTACACGAGTACTTAATATCGCGAAGAGGCCCAAGAGCGTCAAACCACGAGAACAATAATTCGCGAATGGGTGATTTATCTAGAGATTTAACATACATTAAAGCACCATAAAAATAAAAGCGAGTACTTTTATTTTGCGAGTGGTGCTTCTCGCGTAATTACGCGATAATTTATTTCTCGCGTATATTTAGGAATCTACAGTATAATTTGACATGAAACTTTGAAACATTTCTGGTAAAATACAGTCAAACCTCCTTATCTTTAACTCAATGGGAATGAGAAAAAACTTTGAGATATCCAAGGATTTGAGATATCCAGGGTAAAATACTGAAAGAATAAGGGTTTGGGACTTCCAAATCACCTTGATATATCCATGGTATTCGAGATACCGAAGTTCGTCTGTACATGATACAAGTACAAATGTACTTGAAATTGCCCTTAATTTTGTACTGAATCATGCATTTAAGATAAAACACTGTTCCTTAATTAATCTTTGCATTAATTTGTTTACATTTCCTTTTCCATGACCATTTGAATTTGTATTCCTTAAATGCAACAGACACTACAGAAAATATTATTAGGAACTATTTTTTCAATTTAGAGAGAATACAGTAATATGCAACACGATTGTAATTGATAACAAGACTGACATTTCAGCATATCAGTATTGGAATTTAACAGTTGGTATCTTCTTTTTTATTAAGAACTTAAGAACTTTAAAAAGGTACAGTTGAACTTCGGTATCTCGAACACTGATATCTCGAATATCATGGATATGTCAAAGTAATTTGGGAGTCCCAACCCCATATTCTTTAAGTATTTTACCCTGGATATTCGAATCCTGGGATATCTCGAAGTTTTATCTTGGTTTCATTGATTTCGAGATAACAAGATTTGACTGTATTTTACACTGACTTAATAATAATATTTATTATAATAATATTTTTCCTTGGTATGTAACTGAAGCTCAGATTTATTTCTTAAAGTATCACTGCTAATCAAATACTGAAAGAAGTTATATTGTGTAACATACACTACATCTACTTTTGAAAAATGAAATTTGAAGATAGAATAGAGATTTTTTCAGTGTAGATACAGAAATTTAATCATTCCAGTATCAGCAAAATCTGTCATCTTGAAGATAAGAATTCAAATATTGGCCATTATTGACAATGTTGCTAATTTCAATAAGATTTTAATAAATCTTTGGCAAGGAAGTAATTATTCAATTTTTTTCAATTACTTTATTTTCAATTTATTTTAAATTTATGGGTTGATCCTTGCTACTTTTGCACTAACATTCTTTGGTAATTTAAACAAACCTGAATATTACCAGATATTATTGCTCTGCCTTCACCATCACTTGTTGTAGTGTCTTTTAAATTTAAAATATCAATAATTTACCTTTGTTATTCTGTAAATCTTTGTAAGATAGGGTATGGATGCTTGGAATTAATTTATTTAATTTATTATTCATTTAATTATTTATAAAGCATTCTGTGTATAGGCTAGATATAAAACAACAATTGGTAATTCTTGGTTTCTCAGCCACTTGCTGTTATGTGTACTGTGTTCATAGTAAATCCCAAAGAATTTAACATTCTGTTGATAAAACTTCACATTTTAAAAGTTATAAATTGAGATGATAACATGAAAAAAGTTGAATTACTTGAATGAGTGACAAGAAATGACAGTTTCTAATATTGCATGTAATGAACATTATAGTGTAATCATACTAATGGACAATGTGGAAATATATATATCAGTGATATTTTGTGATTCTTCAAGCTAGTGCAGTGTCTTTTTATTGCAAAATTCACATAGTTATTTTTTGGTAGCATTTTTATAAATTTTGGTTTTAATGAGTACTACAAATTGACAATTTTTGCATTTTTCTTGACCATGAATAAAAATGATACAACATCCTTATTGTGCATAAACAAAAGTTACATTTAAAACTTAGTGCTCAAAACTATATTGTAAATAAAGTATTCAATATAAAAAAAAAAAGAGGGCAAATAAGCAATCTGTAAAATTTTGCTGTTGTTTGTATCAATTGCATAAAAATACAAGATGCATAACAAAGACATAAATGTATATGTTTACATTATTCAGTCCCATGCATTCCCATGTTATTGGAGCAATTTTGATCAGTAAAAAAGCATATGACGATGGAGGAACATTTCTACATAACCACTTGAATACCATACCATGAAACATTAATTAATATTGTTTTAATGGCAACTAAATCAAATTTGTTTTTTCTTAAAGTGCAACAGCATAACATATAAAATTTTGATTTTTAACACTGTTTTGTTCAGTAATTTCAATAATTATCAATATAGGCAAGTTGTATATTATTTTCCTTATTAGATCTTCACCAGAACTACCAAATTAACTTAAAATCCATTCATGTGGTGTCTTTTCCCTTTAACTGTTTATGTAAGAAAATTATAACACTATGGCACCCGAATTAGCACAATACAGTGAAAATGCCTTAATGGTGTACAGGTTTTTTAATGATGACCACTGACAGGCAATATCCCAATTATGCAAATATATACTACGGGCGCTGGAAGTTAATGTAAATATTGAGTATGTGCACGTATAATTTTTTTTATACATGCACATACTCAATATTTACATTAACTTCCAATGCCCGTGATAGGGTGCTAGGACTATCAGGAATCCCGGGATTTCGGGAGAATCCCGCTACAGGAAGAAGAATCCCCGGCAGAAAGGTAGAATCCCCCTAAAAATGAATTAGTTGGGATACATAAAGGGTTTAGGTGGTGATTACTAGAATTATATTGTTATCCGTACATTTTTATAGCCAATTTTACCTGAGAATCGACAAAAATCGGACGCCATTACTAGTTGTCGTGGTATACCGTATACCACGCCCGATCTAAAATCGCGATCGATTACATAAAATTATGTAGATCGATTATATAAAATTACTTTTTTTAATTTTGAAACACACACACACACACAGTCACACAAATAATAATAAAAAAATTAAATTGATTGAATTTTAACTGAAACCAGAGGAATGTTTTGAAAGAAATAGTAAATTAAAAATGTATCAAGTTTTTTCAAATATTGAGAAATTTTAAATCAGAGTTTGTCACATTCTATATAAAATTATTTTTTCATTTAAAAGCACACACACACACAAATAATAATAAAAAAATTAAATTGACTGAATTTTAAATGAAACCAGAAGAATGTTTTTAAGAAATAGTAAGTTAAAAATTTATCAAGTTTTTCAAATATTTAGCAATTTTAAATCAGACTGTAAACCATTCTATATTTTCTTTTAATTCAAAAAAAAGGAAAAACAACACACACAAAATTAACACAAGAATTTATTGAATTTAACTGGGGAGAAAAGTCTCATTCTAGACTGGATGAAAGTGAAGACTTTCTGTCTCCAAACATAAGTATTATATGTTCTTCCATGTTACCTGAAACCTTGAAATAAATTAAAAAAATTATATTTTTTTACATTTCAATGCCAATTGAATTTGTCGAATAAAAATTTCCATTGCCTTTCTGTTCAAAGTAAACCCATCATCAAGCCAAATGTTTTTATTCGAATTCATTAAACCCCTACATCTCCAAAATATCACAGTTTGAGAATTTGCATATTTTCTCCGAAGGACGTTATTTTTGTCAAAACTATCGAATTGTACTTTCCTGGATCCATCGTTCCACAAATCATTTGCCTAATTAGACTCCCAATATATATTTTTTGAACTGACTCATTTCGTAACAATTTTTCAATAATTTTTTTGTATTCCTAACACTATTTCTGATACAGAAAAAAAATTTATGTCATTCTCTCCTACTTGTAAAAACACTTTTGTTGGACAAAATTCAACGGCGCTTCCAAAGGATTGACTAAAAATAATTGATTCTGTTGTTGTATCTTTCTCACTAAAAATCTGTATTGAATAATTACTGGGCAAAGTAAAATTCACACAACCATTTGTTACACTATTCCCTAATTCTGACACATGATTTTGACCAATGATTGCAATTCGTTCTGGAGAAGTGACTGCGAGAATTGCTGAAGGAGATATTGTCGAGCAGGGTAGATCAAATTACTGAAATTAAAACTTTATGTTGCAGTGGACAGACAATATCTAATGATGTTAATAAAATTATAAATTATTTTTTCTGTCATTTTCCATAAAGTTATTTAATAATTCACTTTATGTTTATTGCTCTCTTTGGCTGTAATATTTTTATATTTGAAAGAAATATTTTGACTTTGAATAATGATAAAGTATTTTTTAAGTACCTTTTTCTTTTCTTTTTCTTTTTTATTTATCTTTCAGTCCTTTGGCTTTAATATTTTTTATGTTTCAAAAATGTCTTAAATCAAGGCTCTACACTAAGGAGGCCTCCACGTGGCTAGAGCTGGAAATATAAGGAAACTATGGATATTTGTCAGATATTAATATTTTTATTATCATAAATTCATATTTTCTTATGGCTAATGTCCTTATGTGAAAATTTGTAAAGCATAGTGTCATTTAATTTCAATTTTGTTAAATTATATTAATAAAAAAATTAAAATAAAATGTCTGACAGTAAGGGTATAATTATGTGTTGAATGAAAAGACAGTACAATTACAATACAAAATCATTTTAAATTACAAAATTGAATTGAAATTAAAGAACTAATTGAGCATAGTGAAGGTCCAATGTATACACATGCAGTGCCCGAGGGGGGTGGTTGGACAGAGAACAGGTGTTTAAACAAAAGGTGTTTATTACCAACTGGACCAGGTGTCAACAGCTGTGTATATATATTGCATGTATACATACAGGGGGGTGGCTGCCCGTCCCAGTAAATACCAACAAACCTGGCTGATGTGTAAATAGTATTATCACAATACTCCCTCAACATGTGGTCACATATGCAACATGCACATATTATTAATTTTTATGGAACTTTCTATTTTTAATAGACATGTGTTCAAATTATTTCATTCTTGGATAATACTAATTGCTTTCTAATAGCAATGAGTATTTATTTTCTTTTCAAACATGCAAAAACAAGCAAAGAAAAGAAAATAAATAAATATTATAGAAATGAATAAATGTAATAAAGGAAAAATAAATAAATAAATAAATAACTTTCAAATATAAAATAAATAAATAAATAAAAATATATAAATACATAAATAAATTCCAAATTAAAATTTCACCAAAATATTTTCACTGTGCTGTTTATCAACCATATTGAGTCTCCTGGCTTATATAGAAATGTACTTAGGGGATAAACATAGTATCTCATTGTCTTTATATTACAGTAACACATACATTTCACAAATATTTCCAAATTCTGCAGCATAATTTTCGATGTAAAATTCCCAGTTGAAGGGGTACAAAACTACTGTGAACAAAAGGAGTCAATGAAGCCATGAAATATTTTGATTTATATTTATTTATTTATTATCCTCAGATCATTTCCCATTTGAAAAAATACAACTTCAGATATTTAAAGACATTCTGGGTGTTCATAGAAAATCATCTAATATTGCTGTTCTATACGAGTTGGGACAGTTCCCACTATTTTATTCAGGTTATGAAAATATGTTTAAATTTTATTCAAGATTGAAAAATTTAGAGTCAGAGAATGAGCATCAGAACCAATTAGTGGTGTCTGCATTTAAGGAAGATAAAACATTTGGGTCTAGAATATCTTGGCAAAGAAAACTTTTTACTCTTCAACAGAAATTGTCTTTATCCTCATTGGACATACCACATAAAATTTTAAGACATAAATTAGAGGAGCACTATAGGAACAAAATCTGTGAACAGTTAAAGAACATTTCTAAATCAGATTCTGGAAAATTAACTTTTTATAGTAATATAATAAATTTAAATGAATATAAATTACAGAACTACCTACAGTTACCATTGAAGAAATCTGAAAGAACAATCCTAACAAAACTAAGAATTAGTGCTCATATACTACATATTGAAATAGGGAGATACTCAAGGCCACCTATTCCTAGAGAAAAACGTGTATGTCATGCTTGTAAACTTTTTATTGAAAATGAAAAACATTTTGTACTTTATTGTTCTAGTTATGATCAGTATAGATTACAATTTTGTGATATATTTAATGCTCAATGTTACATGAAGGAAACCCTATTATTGACATTATCAACCCTCCAAGTATTAAAATTGCTAGAAGAGTATGTAACTTTCTGAAAAAATGCTTTAATATTAGAAAAGAAAAAACTTCAACATAACTGATATGCTTACTGGAATAATTTTATTGATTTTATGTATGTTATTGTTTATTGTATTCATGACTATATGCCAATGTATGATGGTGTTGTCAATAAATTGAATTGAATTGAATTATATTATTTTTAATTAGATTTAATTTTTATTCATTTTTTATTTCCTTTCATGTATTTATAATCATGTTAATTCTTATTATAAAATTCCTATATACTATCATTCACTTTTTATAAGCATTAATATTTTTCACGTACAACTTGGAACTAGTAGTTGTCAGCGAATGCGATTTTAGATCGGGCGTGGTATACGGTATACCACGACAACTAGTAATGGCGTCCGATTTTTGTCGATTCTCAGGTAAAATTGGCTATAAAAATGTACGGATAACAATATAATTCTAGTAATCACCACCTAAACCCTTTATGTATCCCAACTAATTCATTTTTAGGGGGATTCTACCTTTCTGCCGGGGATTCTTCTTCCTGTAGCGGGATTCTCCCGAAATCACGGGATTCCTGAAAGTCCTAGCACCGCCCGTGATATATACATCGCTTTAAGATGAACATAAACATGTATATTCACAAAGTGATCAAAATATATTATATAAAAAAGTAAAGTTTCAACATCTGAAGGGATCACATCAATACTTCTTTTTTAGATATGAAAAGGCTTTATCAGCCCCAGGGACGTTTATACAAAGTTAGTATACACATCCCTGGCTTTACGGAATTTCATCTAGAATTAAGTTCAACCTTTGTCGGTAATGTTCCTGCATCTTTCCTCCGTTCAACACCTTTACCAACTTTGACAGGTTTATTCTGTGTCATTTTGATACACTAAAATCAAAAATTGAAACTGTTTACATTTTTCAGTCTGCTACTTCCTGTAAGCGAAAAGCGCATGCGCGGTTTATTAACTTACTCGTACCATAATATATTCGTATTAAGACTGGTAATATGCCTGTCTCTATCGTACGAAAAATTTCGCGCATACCAGACAGTATTACACGGGCAGATTTTTTAAATGTTTGACAAACGAATAATAAAGTCCAGGGCTGAATACCTAGGGGTATTTCTACAAGCAGTATTTATGACATTTTTTTAAATGATCCAAAGTTAATCTTTCCATTTTTCTTTTTTTTCAAAAGATACCACAGAGTCTGACACTTCTGTTTCATATTTGGATATTTACTATAAAAATACATTAATGGTAACCTAACAACAAAACTTTATGATAAACGTGATGACTTCAACTTTTCTATCGTCAACTTCCCTTCTGTAGCAGTATACCCTTATTACCTGCATGCATATGGGGTGTATATTTCCCAGTTGATTGGATGCGCAAGGGTATATCCCATGCACGTGCGAACAATTTCTAAAATGAGGCAAGTTATTGACAAACACGTTGATGAAACAAATATATCAACAGTCTAGTTTAAAGTCATCATTTTGCAAGTTCTATGGTCGATACAAATTCCTTGTCAGCAAATACCATATCTATCATTTAGGCAAATTCATACTAAATGTTAGGCCATTTTTTAAACACTGAATTGCCGTTTGCCCGATCATGACAAGGCGGGTGTGACTTGTCGACAGGAGATGCTTACTCCCCCATGGCACCTGATCCCATCTCTGATGTTTTTTACTGAGAGGTCCGTGTTTGCTCTGCTCCCGATTTGTATTGTTTCAATGGACTTTTGAGCTTGATCACTGTTCGTAATCTGTATATTCGCCGTATCTACCTGTTCGCACAAGTCCTTTCGCCATAATTCTCGTTCGCCCTGTACCCCGTTCGCCCTGTTGTAAATATATAATATGAAGTCATTTCTTATTATTTTTTTTATTTTGTTAATTAATAGATCTAAGTCAAATTTTATTTCCTTTCCATCAATATTGACTTTATTTCCGATTTTAATGTTTATCAAAGACTTAATTGGTTAAATTGTTTCTAATTTTAATGCTGTAAACTAGGAAACACCTTTTTATGTTTGTTTGTTTTTTTTTTTTTGTTTTTTTTTTTTTTTTTTTTTTTTTTTTAGATTAGTGTTATGCTTTGAAAATAATTAAGGGAATTGAGATATTAATAGGTCATTTTATCTGGGGATAAGCAGCGTCTAAGCAGAAGTTTTTTTTTTTTTTTTTTTTAAGAATCTTATTATTCTCAACTTAATATAACTTTAAATAAAGTTACTAATAAATTAATGAGTATCACAACCATACTTAACTGGTTCTTTTTTTTTTAATTTTAATTTTGTTATTTCTTCATCTATACTGAATGTATAGATGTAATGAATTATAATTTAAACAGAAGAATTCATGAAATTCAATAAAATCAAAGGAAATTACGAAAATTTACCGACTTACATATTTTTATTTATTTATTGACAAAAACTACATACATTGTACATACAGTATACAAATATAGACAGTCACATAGATTTTCTTATGTTAAATGCATCACGTATGAAGTTACAAATATTTCTTGTTGATTTAACATCTGTTGGATTAAAAATGTGTACAATATTCACTTCGTAGTTGTTTTTAAAGAGGGCATACAAATAAAAAATGATCTTCATCTTCAACAACAGTATGACAGTTAATACAATATATTTCATCTCTTGGTATAATTGGATTACAATATCTGCCAATCTCTATCTGTAATTTGTGGGCACTTATTCTTAACCGAGTCAAAAAAGAACGAGGCTTCTTGGAAATGGAAAAATTTAAGTATGGTTGAATTTCAAGCTTGTTTAGATTTTGTGGACCTATTAACTGGCTGTAGAATGACAATTTTCCATTACCTCCTTTCTTTGATATTTCTAATGTTCCTGAAAACTATATTCTAAAAATACTTTTTCAAATTATTTTCAAAATCATTTATAGATAATGTATTAGCATTTGAACCAATAACTTCATTAAGTATTCTTCGTATACAGTTTTGACAACATGTTTTTCCATTTCCTGCAAGTTTTTCATCCTCTAGATATGCATTTTGTAAAAGCAAGTTTGAGTTCTCCTGATCTGAACCAATTTTCTGTAATCTGTAATAATATCTAAATAATAATTTATATATTCTAAAATTATAAGAAGTGCACCAATTAAACTCTGCCCTAAATTAGAAGTTTTATTATGAACCCCTAACATGTCTTTTAAGATGAAATTTTAATTTTTTTCAAATGGAGTTTTATCAAAGTCTCTTGTAAAATATGCCTTCCATGCTCTACCTGCTAAATTCTCGCATGCATATTTCAATTTACCATTATTTTATAGGACAACACCCAAATATTTATATTCATCAACAAAAGCAATAACATCTTCTTTAAGTCTCATTGTTTTACGACTCAATTTTTAAGGTTCTTGCTAGAAAATACCATAGCATTAGTTTTTTGTGTATTTACTTCTAACTTCCAGTCACAACAGTATCTTCCCAATGAATCAAGACACTGCTGTAGCCCATCTGCTGATTCTGATATAAGTTATAAATAGTCTGCAAAAAAAATAAGCTGTCAAAGTGAATGTTGTTCAGTTGAACAGGGCATGTTTTTGAGAAAACTAAATATTTTGTAAAATCATCAATAAATATGTTAAAAAGTGTAAGACTCATATTGTCTCCCTGTTTTACTCCACGGTTTGTAGGGAAAATAAGTCGCTATGAACATTTGATTGTTTTACAGCACATACAGTAAGGCGAACGAGTTTTAGAGCGATCGGGGTCTAGGCGAACGAGAAGTAGGGCGAACAGCGTGAATTTAAGGGCGAACAATTTTATTTTTATTGTAATCACATGGGTTCATAACGTCTTTAATGGGATCAGTGCCACAGTATAAATATGGAAAGAACGATTGGATTAATTTTTAAAAAATATATTTCCATGTATTTTTCTTAAGCAGAGTATGAAATCTCTGAAAATACCACTTAAAGTTCATTATCAGTTCATATATTTCAGAAGGAGGAGGGGGAGGAGAGGTTTACATTTACATTAACAAAGTCAATTGTTTTTATAAGATGATTCTTATCCATAAAAGTGTCAAATACGAAATTTAACGTATAAGGCGGCGCCATTTTTTGTATTTTTAAGACATTTTATCACATTTGCATATCAGAAAACAGATTTCTTTGAAAACAGCAAGTGGGATTTTGTGGTACTAGTATCAGCAATCCTATTTGCTGATATCAGGATTTAAAATCCTTTTTCTAGCTGCTGGAATTTTTGAAAACTCAATTTTTGATATCAACAAGTTCTGTTGTTCGGGTTTATTAAAATACAGGCCCGTAGGAATCATTTTAGTTGAGGCACAACCAAATAATTTCAGTTTGCAATTGGGGGTACTAAAAGCAAAAATTCTTTGAGCATTAATTAAGTTCTCCAAAAAGAGGCCATCAGACGTTATTATTGAGGGAACACCTGCATAAAATAGCTTTATTTTCTAAAGTTATACAATATATCAACATGATTATGGTAGTCACGCCCCCATGCGATTTATAAACACAAAGATTTTTGACTATCTATCCCGCCATTTTCAGACCGAGAGATGACAGTAAAAAATCACAAGAAGCATGAATTGGATTTCACTCACATTTTCTGATATCTTAATTAATTTGTTACGAGGTCTGTAACAAAAAATTCTATTTAGGGCCTACATTCTTTGATTTCTGATTTTCAATTTTCGAGTTTTTGTTATTTTCTGATATCAATTAAATTCAATTAATTTTTTCCTTGTCAGAAAAATGTCTCATACACGACGACTCTAGTGGCGGATCCAGAAATAATTTCAGGACGGGGAGGGGCGCAAACTCAAAAATCCTATTTCATGGAAAGGAGGGGGGGGGGGGTAGGAGTGTATTGCTGAGGTTCAGGCTTTTTTCCACAGGATTTTATTTTAAAAAAATCAGCTCCGATTCTATGTGCCGAAAACTTTAACTTGTGGACTTAATCGAGAGTAGGAAGAAAGTAAAAAAAAAAACAAACGGGGGGGGGGGGGCTCCCGGTGCTTGATCCGCCTTTGGACTTCACGATCGAACCCTCCGCTGTAGTCAACCACGCTTTCGAGGGTTGTCGCACTTTATGCCTATATAGGTAAATTGAGAAGGTAAATGTGCACAGGTAAAGACTGTAAATTGACCGTAAGCGGGTTAGTCCGTTCCATTGTCTTGTTATATTTATTCGCAGCGAATACACAGCACAGACAACATTCGCTTTTGCAATGTCTCAAGTGCAGTTTCCGGTTTAGCAGTGACACTTTGTTTTGGTTGCGTTTCAGCTCATGTTTTAGTTGACTCACCGATGATTGATACGGTATGAGTGTAAACATTTTTTATTAAAGGAAAATGGGATCAAGACAGGAGAGAAAGATCACAAATGTGGAAGTCTCCGATGTACAAAAACGTAGAAAACCCAGCAAACATTATGTACGTATTCTTTAATCTAAAAATTTCTTTGAAATTTTATCAGTAAGTTTACAAAGTTGATAGAGAGGGCCATTGTAAAATGTAGGTATAACATGTGGTTAGGCCGATATTGACAAGAATACCTGATTACCATAACTTTATAAAGGTTTATAAACACGATAAAGGAAAGTGAAGAAAATTTTGGATTATCTAGGGAAAATGATTAAGCATTTTGCATTATGAAAAGGTACTTGGGTGGTAGGTGGAGGGAGGAGGTGTTGTTGTAATTTTTTTTTGCACCTTTAAACTGTGATTTGCCAAGTTTGATGAAATAATTATAAGACAGGAAATGGGCAAAAACATATTTTTGTAACACAATCCCTTAATTACCACACACACATAGAAAATCATTTAAAAATCAATTTTCTACATGTTCTATGAACAGGAGGATGATTAGCTACTGTAGTTTTGAACGATCTACATACAGTAATGAAGAGTTGAAACAGTCATATGACAGACATTTTGAGTACAATTTACTGAGTAATAGCAAATCTCATCATTGCAGGTTTATATTATACGAGTCACTTGGTCTACAAGGACAGTCAATATTATCTACAGACGATACAGCAGATTCTTTGATTTTCAGGTAATTTGTTCAGTTCTTTTTAACAGGGAATTAAAAGTTAATCTGATGGCATGATATTTGCTTGATCAATTACAAAAGTACACATTAGTCTAGTGTACAATATGTAATTTATGATAGCATTATACATGTAGTTAAAATTATGAATTTATATGCTATAAAATTTATAGTACATGTATAAATGTTGAAAAAGTCAATATTTTAAAATAAAGGACATATAAAATATGTGTGCATGCTAGGCTTTTCAAGAGAAGCATAGTTATTGGTAAATTTGTCAACTTACAAACTAATTTATCAGGAAAAGTTTATCAGTGAAAAAAAAAATCTTTTTGAGAACTTATGTGATTGCCCATTGAGAATTTTTCAATTCACATGAAGAGGCCAAGTTTGATGGAGAATTAGTAACTCTTCATTGCTTTGAAATAAGTTGCATATGTTTTGTACTTCAGCACTCATTACTAGAGAAATTTCCAATAGAATCAGGACAGCTAGACCCTAACCAAAGAGTTATTCCATTTCTTCCAGGTAACATATTGATTTTAAATTCAAGTCACGTACATTCTTCCAACACTTGAAACATACTTTAAATTATACATATACGCAGAACTGATTTTAAAGACATTGTTGAGGCAGGTAGGCAACTTAGGAATATATTTGGCAATGGTCATTGCTCTTATTCATCAACCAATTGATTTTATACAGGTAAAATATACTTTGGCCGCAGCCAGGTGAGAGAGGTGGCATTGAAGAGACTAAGTCAGATAGATGATTATTGCAAGGTGAGTTCTGCTGTGGTCTATAGAATAGGAACTATATATTTAATTTGAAGGTACCCCAGTTTACTGCCTTCACAAGTAAATATATTCCTAGTGATTGTCTATAAGACATCTTCACAATGTCAAAGTTTTGTGATATTCGTTCCTGTGTACGCGCAAACCCTTGGTTTGTGAAGAGGAACAATAACACAAAACCTTGACATTGTGAAGATGATTTTAAGAATAAACTTTATTTTGTTTTCCATCTTTAATTACAAGTTAGACTGCACAATTTGCTGGTGATAGGGTTAATTCAGTATTTAGGTGGTATATCAATCAATCAATTATGTAAATATTACACCATTCTGTATATTTTTCTTTTTTTCTAAATCCACCTTTTTATGTGAATATTCAGAAGTGGATTCCAGCAACAGACACTTTACTGATGTTAAGGAAGTATATATGATACACACATTGTTAATCATTAATGTTACACTATGTAACCATACCAAGTTGGGGAAATCTATATTTAGACAGGAAGTTTATATACGGTGTGAATACAATAAGTATGAAGAAATATTGCTACTTTTTTTTTTTATATAAAATTTGTATTCAAATTAAATAAAAATTGTTATTACAGAAGGACAAGGAAATTTTTTAATATAAAAAAAAAAACTAGACTAGGTTATGCATAGTGCAAGTAAATAGAAAAAAGGGGATGTTATTGAAGAACATAATACAAAAGAACAATACTGGTACATAACAATCGGTGATTTTTTTGAGAACAGTATTTTTTTTTTCCTTATTGAGTAGTGTATCTATGTCCTGCACATCAAACATTGTGTATTTCATTGAATTTAGAAAGTTTCTATGTATTAAGTTCTCACAATTTAGGATTGGATGAACATATTTTCTTAATTTACTTGCTCATCATTGTTGTCGGTGAAGATGTTTTCATTCTAAGTTATATACATGGAATAAAATTGATGTATATGTATTATTATGCAAAGCACCTCGTTTGATCTGATGATCTGCGCCTGTCAACTTGATGTGATCTGACTCTTTAGATTAAGTTGTTTCTATAATGATAAATTTATAATATACCCCTCTATTTTAAACAAAATTTGGGAAGCAATTATATGACATTTATCTATAAAACAAAACACATTTTTTTTTGACATGCAGGAAAAAAATCTAATATATTATACTGTAGACTATGTCATCAACTTCAGAACATAGTGCTGTGGATTTAGAAAACCATAGTGTGGTGATCTGGAAAGTTAGATCACACTGTCACATGATTGCATGAAATCAAGAATAAAACTGAGTGACTAATATACAGTTAGGTATTACATGTACTACCAGAGTCAAATGATCAACTACATATATCATTCAATATTGATTTTTTTTTTCTACCAGGCTCTGATCAGTTTGGAGGAGAAAATCTCCCAGTGTGATGAGGTCCTGGAATTCTTCAGCGTCGAGGAGGATGATCTCAATCCTCCCACGGATGACGAGTAAGTAATGCTTCTCTCCCTTGTCATTGTATTGCGATATATCTGTAAAAAAAAAAGTTGGAATACAAAGAGCATTTGTGTCATTGTTTTGTAGAAAATTCAAAACACAGGAAGTATATGCTACTTCTTAGAAAGGACTATTCTTCCTTGTATAAAAAGATATAAAAGAAACAGTCACTTAGAGGATACATTTCTAGGACAAGATTTTTTTCCCCTGTATCACCAGAGTTTACATTGCTTGAACTCAGGTGACCTATTACAATTAATTTTCATATCCATTGTCATACAAGTGTGTTTCATGTGAGACCTGTTAGCCTAATGTGATTATTTTGACTAATTAATTCTCAACAATTTTCATCTTTTTGTAGAAGGGCACAAAAATTAAATGTGTTTAAAAAAATATACCCACTAGGGTCTGAGGAGTTCAGGGGCTGAATCTATGTTAAATAATTTTTTTTTTTGGGGGGGGGGGTTAACTTATAATGATGACGTAGAGATCCTTTTACAAAAGTGTACATTTTGTGACCCCCCTGGGTCAAGCATTCATGCCCCAGAGTGCACAGAGCTGAATTAATCATATATTGAGAGACATATTATGATACTTCATTAAATAGACTTGCAGGCTTAATGTTTTTTCTTGCAGCCTGTGCACATTCCAGTATATTTACACACAGTGAAATATAATTATAGGATTATTGAAATGCCCATTGATCTTATTTATTATGACTACAACAAGACTTCTAATCCATGTGTTTCTCTAAATATTGCAATGAATTAGAATTTACCTGAATTGAAGTTATGCTTGTATTTACCTCATGCAGAAAATTATTTTCCACTAATTAAGCTGTTACAGTATATATATAAAAGATGCCTGGCAAAAAAAAAAAAAAAAAAAATTATATGTGAAGAGGTATTTTACTGAATTAAGCCATTTTTTAGCACAACAGCATTACAAAATGACTCTTGTTATAGCTATCAAAACAAGTTATATGCATCTTATTAATATGCATTTTATTAATGAGACCAGTATCGAATTCATCTATCAAGTTTGATGAAAGAGAGCACGTAAATTAAGGAGGATGAACATTTTCTCTGTAATAATAAAATAGTACAAAGAGGAGATAACTTGCCCTGAGGATACCTACAATAACTTGGTTATTGCTGCATTAATTAAATTGTGAGAGTTTTACGCGTGACAATCTTTCTTTGACTTGTGCTCAAGTCATATAAATCAAACAAACAATTTTTCAACATTTTATTAGCTCACCTAGCTGAGCTCAAGGCTCAAGTAAGCTTTGCTGATCAAAATTTATCTGTTGTCTGTGGTCGTTGTTGTAAATTCACATTTTCATCTTCTTCTCCAGAACCACTGGGTCAATTTCAACCAGACTTGGCACAAAGTATCCCTGGGTTAAGGGGATTAAATTTTGTTCAAATAAAAGCCACACTTTCTTCTAAGGGGAGATAATTAAGAAATAGTGAAAATTAAGTGGGGTAATTTAAAAATCTTCTTCTCAAGAACCACTGGGACAGAAAAGATGAAACTTATTTGAAAGCTTTCTTTGGTAGTGTAGATTCAAGTTTGTTCACATCATGACCCCCGGGGATTAGGTGGGGCACTTTGGGCAATCAAAGTTTTACAAAGGAATACTTAAGGAAAAATCTTTAAAATTCTTCTTCTAAAGAACAGCAGTCATGATTAGTTATATTTGTAAGGAAGCATCCTCAGGTAGTGTAGATTCAATTTTGTCCAAATCATGACCCCCAGGAGTAGGGTGGGGCCACTATGTGCAATCAAAGTTTTACATAAGAAACATAGAAAAAATCTTAGAAATTCTTCTTCTCAAGAACAGCAAAGCCATGATTAGTCATATTTATAAGAAAGCATCCTCAAGGAGTGTAGATTCAAGTTTGTCCAAATCATTAAATCATGACCCCCAGGGTAGGTGGGGGGAAGGGGGGGGGGGCACTATGGGCCATCGAAGTTTTTCATAGTAATACGTAGGAAAAATCTTTAAAATTCTTCTTCTCAAGAACAACAAAGCAATCATTAGTTATATTTATATTGAAGCACCTTCAGCTAGTGTAGATTCTAATTTGTTCAAATCATGACCCCCAGGGGTGAGATTGGGCCATGATTAATCATATATTTATAAAAGCATCTTCAGATTCAAGTTTGTTCAAGTCATGACACCTGGGGGTAGGGCACGGCCACAATATATTATCTAAATTATATATTGGGAAAAAATCTGCTGATGAAGAACAGAAGGGCCATAGTTACTCAGGTCAGCTTTGTGGCCCATGAGCCTCTTGTTTTCCAATTGTATTATTGGTGCAACTGTATGACAATTACTGGGTATATAGGCTTATTATGAAAAAAAGATGTGAGTTGATGATATTTTCAAGGTTAGTGATTAAATTTCACAGGGAAAAACAAAGAAAACATTTTTAAAAAAAAACAAAAACAAAAAAAACCCAGGACTTTATGAGCTCAACTATGAAATAGCATATTTCAGCAGAAAAATGTTGCCCTTGGTCATAAGTGGAACATGTAATTTGTGGGTTAGTGATGTTTTTTTTTTTCCACAGCAAGCAACTACGTAGGCTATGCAGTGACTCATGACTACTTTAAGTTTCATCAGTTTATATATATCCATGGGTATATGCATGTATTTAAATTGAATTGAAAACATGTTTCCTTCTTGCTTAATTGATTTCTTGCAAATTATGAATGTGCATTTTAAAAAAAAAAAATGCATTTACAGTATATTTTCATGCTTCATGTAGTTAGCAATTAATAACAATGTAACAGGAAGAGAATAATACTAGTAGTTTGAGAAGGAATGGGAGAATATATTACATGATGCATTTTTCCTACGTACACTAGTACACAAGAAGTGCTTTGTACTTCAGTGTACTAACTAAAAACAATGCACACCTCAAGTTCATACTTATGTAATTAATAGGGAAGACTATGTAACAGATTTTCATTTCTGAAGCATACTGGACAAGAAGTACATATTGTTAACTTTTTAACGAAAAAATACTCCAGGAAGTTGAATATTACAACTGTTATTCACTACTGGTATTTATAATCATTTTTATATAGAATATTTCAAGGAGAATTGATAAAGGAAATTGATGTTTTATAAATGAGGAAAAAGTCGTTTTCTGATGGTGGTTAAATACCTGTGAATGGAAAATAGTTTTTAAGCTCTGTTGAAGTTTTGCCTGCCCGGTAGTTAAATAATCTAAATCTTTCCTGTTAATTATAGTATTAAATTGTTATAAATATTTAAATTATCTAAAAGATTATCAAAAAATCCTTAGTGCCAGGGAAGATTCTGTTGTTATCTTTGGCAAGAAACCATTTAAGAGTGAAAATCTCAGCTAAGACATGTGGCTGTAAGTATATTTGATAGCTGGTGACTTTATGGTTTAGGTCATAGAACACATATTTCTAGAATTCGACAGAAACAGGATTTAAATCCTTGTCTTATAATCATTGCATTTTATCCTTAAATACCAGGTTTTAGGAAGATGAAAGGAAAATTAATGCCAAAAATTTAGGCATGATACTTGTCTTGATATAATGATTAAATATGACATAGTTTACATAGATGGACCTTATAGAGACACCTAACATTTGGCATACATGGGCCTTAGAGAGATACCTATAACGTTAATTTGATCTGGCTTTTTTCATGTCTCTCGGTGACTGACACGTTGATGTGTTGACTTTTTCCATATCTTGGAACATGTTAAACATTTGGACAGTCCATGACCTTATTAATTAGGTATTTACTATTCTGAACAAACATTGACCCTAGTGAGTCAGCTAATGAACTTATCATGTTGCAATGTTTTCCCCCTTTTTTTACCTGTAAACAAATACATTAAGGTGTCATGAACAAATTTCATTAAAGATAATTTATTGCAGGTATTAAATTGGTGACTGTTTAAGTCATATTCTCTATATAAATTGAAATGAAAATGCTTTTTTTTTTAATTCTGGCATGTTAATTTTGGATTTGAAAGGTAAATTAATTCTCATCTTTTAAAACATAATTTCTTGATAAAATTATGCATTATACTATCAGATTTTGATATAATCCATTTAAGCATACCTATCATGGATATACATGTAGTTCTGAGAATCTCGTCATATATACCATGTGACCAGGCATCTTCTCTCAACTTTCATCCAGGGCTATATATGTGTGGTTTAGATAAGGCCATCAAGCTTGAAAGAGATGTGAAATTGATCCATTTAAATTTTGAAATGTCCCCTGAAGGATACAGGTGTAAGCAAAGATCTCCTTCTGTCTCATTTATTTTAGGTATTCAATGGATCATAAAACAATGTTACTTCCCCTTAGAACAGAATTTTGGCTAATCCCATATTTTTTTCCTCGTGACAATTTTTCTCTTTGATTATATATTGATGAGAAATTGCTGTGTGACTCGATATCAGTTCACCACTCGATGGTGACAAAATTATTTTACAGTTAATAAGGGACCATGTTGACTGCTGTATATCGAATTAAGGATAGTGTTTCAGATACTGTAAGCAGAATCCGTAATTCGTGGGTAGTGGACAATACTCATGTTCAGTAAGTATATAGGTAAAATTATCTGGTTATAAATTATGACCAACAAAGTTGTAAGATCCACACTCATGACAGTTGTTTTGTTTTCTTTGAAATTTTTTGAAGTAGAATTCTAATGTTTAAAGTGGAGTTTTGAATTATTTATAATCAAATACATGTACTTGTGTATCTGATTCTAAGTAAATATTTAAAAGGATATGAAATATTATGAATTTGTTTTTAAAATTAGTATATTTTTGAATTGTTTAAGATTCTTGTCTTCATATATCATTTAAAATGTTATAGTAACAGAATTCTACAACACCATGTTATCATACAGTCCCTATGAATGAAGGAACAGTTCACTTAAACTCTTTGTTTGTTCAATAAACACTTTCACTGGGGTCCTAC